CGACAATTCTGCAGGCTAAAGGTTAACAGATGGTACTTGTTGTTTGCCCGCCTGCTGCTCGGCAATAAGGGAATAAAATAGACTGGTAGGCTTGGAGTCGGTATGCTGTGTCTGAGTGGGGTATCCATGTTAAACTGTTGCATGGTATCTGGTGGGCTAGCCCTATAAAAACTAGTCCTGACTGGATGCAAACAGACACACACAAACCCATAAGGTACGTAAGTGCAATAAGCTTGAATGCCATGTTGAACCCCATTTCACCTAACCCCACCTCATGAAGCCACAAGGGGGAGTGAATGTTTGGTTGTGTTGTGACGGTGTATTATGATAAGGCTATGTGTTAATTACAGCAGTAGCACACTTGAAGGATGAGTCATTCTACATGTGCCAACACTACTGGTAAATGTCAGCTCGCTCTAATTGTGTTGAAATTTCCCCTTGGTCAGTTGTCAGTTCAGCAAGTTAACTCCCTTACCTTGGGAAGTTTGATCAATATTTATTAGAACTACCAGAATTATTCAGTTGTAACTGTAGTAAAATTGGCATCATGTAATGTATGACTGGCATTGAGTGATGTCATTTCTGTCCACAAATGTGAGAGTTACAATGTCGATAAACAGTATGTGTTTTCAGAATTGTGGGCTCTTACTGAGTGCTTGATGTATGAAATCTGACATTCAAAATTTCCAGCTAATGCTGTTGGTTCGATATGAAATTTCATTTCTTTTCTTTTGATTTGCAAGACAGCATATGTTAAGTACATTGTTTATCAAATAACCTTCTGATGTACTTGTTAACATGGTTTGCAAAGCCTGTGCTTAGGCGCCTACACCATAGTCCTGATAAACATTGATAGATTGACAATAACATCTTCTATTTGTTATAGCAAGTAAATTTGTGTTGAGTACATTGTTACTAAGAGGTCATGAGTATAAATATTGCACAATCATGCAGCTTCAGTGCATCCCTGTTTATTGGTACCACATGGGAACCAGATAGGTCTCAGCATTCTATTGCTTGCCCCAAGGGGGCCCGGGTTGAGAATTGGCCCCCAGCAAACTATGCTGGTTGTAAAAGGCGACTTAATGGATCGGATGGTCAGCTTGGTGACTCGGGTGATGACGTATCATTGTACCTCGATGGCATGGGGCAGTGCTCATGATACCAACCACACACTTTCATTATTTACTGTCTCCCGTCATATAGTTGGAATATTGCTGACAGCAGCATTTAAGAACATTCTCTGGCTCACAGTTGATGGTGTGTGTGTAATGTGTCTGCAATAACTGGCTTCTCAAGAGGCTTTGTTGTTGAGTAGGAAAAGTATTTTCAGTATAACTTGATACAGCGGGGAAATGGATGACATTAAAAGGGATCCCTGACCCATCCCTGATGTTAGAGACTGAATATTTATGTGGTCGATAGGTCAAGATATCCTTGCCCAAAACCTCAATTAGGTGGTCAGGCTCGCTGACTTGATGCATGTCATCGATCCAAATTGCGTGAATCGATGCTCATGATATTAATCACTGGATTGTCTGGTCCACACTCGATTATTTACAGACCGCCGTCATATAGCTGGAATATTGCTGGGTGCGGCTTTAAACCAAACCAAACCAAAACCTCAATACCCAAGGAAGCTGTAGATCACTACACTAAATTAAGTACACTTGGATATGTTTTCTGGAATAATGTTGACATACTGTAAGCAGTCTCTGGAGAATCATTATATATTTCCATCCAGATTCCATCTGAACAATAATTGGGACTTTAATTTTCCCCCTGCACACTGAGGGGATCTGCTGACCAGGTATTCATTATCCTACTTATCCAGTTTCTGTCAGTGGTTGGCTGTATACCAGAAATTAACTGATAATCAAGGGCTTCTCTTGACACAATAACCAGCCCCCTCAATCACCATTCTGGACTGGGTTGGCCCACAAACCAAGTACTCCTGGCTTGTTGATTGATATTTTATGTGGCACAAATCAATCTCTTAGATGGTTTGTTGATCACATTATGAAGCCTTAATGCTGTGTATAGCCTGTTGGACTGTGTGCAGCTTGGCTGAAAACGACTATCAGTCTAGGTATCTTTTGCAATCAAGTGGAAAAGCTGCATGTGAAAAAGGGGCTGAATGCCTTCCTGTGTTGTTGTCCAGGGTCTGAGTGTTCATGTCTCCAACACATTACTTTCATAAGGCTTGTCTTCCCAGCAGGACTCTTCCAGCTTGCACACTATGTCATCGTAACACTGTCTGCAACATTGTTTCATTATTAGCAGTCTCTGCTAGTCAGGAAATGCCATGTTGTAAAAAGTAACACTGTCAGGATTCTTTTCCTTTTCCTTTTTGAGTTTTGGCAAACAAGTACCTTGGAGAGGAGGGTTTACAAGTTGGTAGTTAGTAAAATTTTGGGCTTCAGCATGTTTAGTCAGTAGTCATTATATTTTTCGGCTTAGTGAAAAAGTTTAACAGGTTTTCCACGTAATATATTCGTAGGTAAATTATTGCATATTTTATTCTAATCTTTTATGATTTAAATTTGACTCAGCTCATGTTTACAATGCTTTATAAGTTGTTTATGCAAAACAATAAGCCTCATCAGGACCCTCCGCAATGTTTGAAATAAGCACCTGCCCATGGGTCAGTGGCAGGTAGATCTTGTGTCAGGCCCATAGTTTCCAATTTTATTGGGTCTCTATGGTATGCAGTAAATTTATGTGTCGATTTATATGTCAAATAAACTGCAGTTTTTTAAATGAGGGCCTGACAAGTTTAGTCAGGGCCTGCTGCTTTTGAAGTCTGTGGGTCCTGATAGCAGCCTAGCTATTTATTTTATTTCAAACACTGACCCTCAGCACAGCTACATTTATTCTTTGGGTTTGGGTTTTAGTTGGAATGGTTTTTCGTCTGTTTGTCTTGACACATGGGGCCCGTGAAGATTTGGGGTAGAATAGGTCTTCAGCAACCCATGCTTGCCGTAAAAGGTGACTATGCTTGTCGTAAAAGGCGACTAACGGGATCGGGTGGTCAGGCTCGCTGACTTGGTTGATGCATGTCATCGATCCCAATTGGGTGGATCGATGCTCATTATATTAATCATTGGATTGTCTGGTCCAGACTCGATTATTTACAGACTGCCGTCATATAGCTGGAATATTGCTGAGTGCGGCGTTAAATAGCAAACCAACCAAACCAACCTTGACACATGGTTTAATGCACATTTCAGGAAGTCATGGTAAGATTTATATATGGTTCCTCGCCCCTTCTTGTACAATGCAGCTTTCTGTTACGCCCCAGTGTCAGTGGGGTAGCTACAGGGTTAGACACAGCCACTAACCATTAGTTCTGTGACTTGTGAACTCCTAACAAAATCAGGGTTACACACCGATTCTAGCCATTAGATATGTGACAAGTGAATGTCTCAATGGCAGGGTTAAACACAGCCACTAGCCTTAGTCCTGTGACTGGTAACTATCTTAAAGAACATTATAACAGCATCTGATGGAACTATAGGTAAAAAAAACCATTATTAATATAGAGAAATTATTTCAACGATAACAGGGTTTAAGTCAGGGAAATCACAATATCTTGTAATTATTGAGTTCATTTGCCCTTCTTTCCATTTTCAGGTGTAATTAACTGGACAGTTAGATCTTATGCAGCTATTTTTAATGTATTCTGCCTTCTGTTATCCCAATCAAACCAAGCTTCCAATAATACACTGATGCACGGTGATACACACTAGACATGACACAGAATGCAAGACTCGTGTGTTGAAATACACTGCAATATTAACAGTTGTGTATGCAGAGTTTCAGATTGGATTGTACCGTCAGTCATTGATAGGTCTTTTGTTAATATGTCATAAGCAAGGAGAGCTGATTTGTTTACAGTTGATTTACAGAATCTGTCACACCTAAGAAATCAAAAGAGGACCCAAAAAATGAAAGCTCTATTGTTTATTCTGTTGAATGTAATATTCTTGGAAATGTGTTAAAACAATGTCTGTAATGTCACTGATGTGTTTCTAAAGATTGATTTAATCAATAGTTTAATCCATTAGATAGCAGACTATGCCAGTCTATTCCAACAGTTGTTAACAAGCTTGTGATCTTCACACAATTCTTGACACAAACAGTTTCATGGCTGACAAGGTTTATGTTTCAAGTTGATTTTGTATGAAGTTAGGCTCTGATAGAGTTAATGCCTTTGTATCGTGGGAGTCATGATACATATCTTGTGAATGTTTTGCTGTGTCAGCCCTGATATATGCCATCACAGAAGTCTGTCATTTGATATTGTGTGCAGCTTAAATGCTATTTAGGATATTCAGATCATGGTATGTGTGTTCTAATGTTCTAGGGCTTGTCTGCGGACAGACATCTTGAACATGTTTCGTTATGCATCCCATAACCTGTGTGATTGTGGGTATATGAGAGGGCTAGCACTATAAAACCTCAATTAGTCAGGACATACAACACATGCATGCCTGTAGCCTTCAAATATAGTTTGATATGTTTTATGTTTCACATTTCTAATGATGATGATGATGGCCATGATTGTGGTGGTGGTGGTGGTGGTGGTGGTGGTGGTGATGATGATGATGATGATGGCCATGATTGTGGTGATGATGATGGTGATGGTCATGATTGTGGTGGTGGTGATGATGATGATGATGATGGCCATGATTGTGGTGATGATGATGATGATGGCCATGATTGTGGTGATGATGATGGCCATGGTGGTGATGATGGTGGTGATGATGATGATGATGATGATGATGGGGGTGGTGGGGGTGGTGGTGATGGCCATGATGATGGTCATGATTGTGATGATGATGATGATGATGGCCATGATTGTGGTGGTGATGATGATGATGATGGCCATGGTGATGATGATGATGATGGCCATGGTGATGATGATGATGATGATGATGGTGGTGATGGCCATGATTGTGATTGATAATGATTGATAATGATTGTTTTGTTCTTTCCAGACAGAAGAGGTTTGTGGCCCTGAAGGTCGTCAAAAGTGCTCAGCATTATACAGAGACAGCCCTGGATGAAATTAAGTTATTAAAATGTGTAAGTGTGTACAGAAGCTGTTTATACATTTCTACATTGTCTGCTACTGTGAGATTGATGTAATGTTGGTGATTTGCAACTGGAAATTGCTCATTTACAAACCTGAATAGTGATGTCAGTACACCGTCTACAAAGCCGGACGTTTTTCCAGGGACACCTTTAAGTTTAACATCAGACAAACTTATTCACATTGGTGGGTTACTGCCAATTTGGACCCTCTGTCACTTTCTAACTTGTTTTATTTATTGTTTCCATGTGGGTATTTGAAGTCAGAGTTAGCAAACAATATTTCATTTCTTTCGCAAGGGGAAAAATGGGGGATTGGTTGGTCAGAATGGCTATAATGCCTGAATTATACTTGGATGAATGATGGGGAACTGACACTCAGCTTTGATCTTGATGATAGTGAATAGTATTGCTGATGATTATGTCTTGCAACTTGCAACTTACACTCTTCTCACCCTGGTTCATGCTGGTTCACAGAAGTACATACGTGTATGTTATCCAATCAGTATAAGCAGTTTATAATTATGTGAAATTTTTAAGCTTTATCTTTGAAAATCACCTTTGTTATATTTCTGTACTGGGGTCTTTCCATATTGAGATTCCTGACAAAATAATAATTGTTTTTCATGGAATTGGTTTCTGTTGGTTGATTTGTTGATTTCTTTGCCTCAGGTTCGCAACAGTGACGAGAATGATCCCTACAGAAAGAAGACAGTACAGTTATTGGATGATTTTAAGATAACAGGGGTGAATGGGACACGTATCCTTTGAATGACCAACAACAAACTGCCAATATGGTTCTTCTTTCTGTAGTCATTCCTTTGGACTGTGTGAAGAACATGCATGATATATGTCAGTGGTTAATAACAAACGATGTTAAGAGATGCTACTTCTTGTTGTCCTGTCTCCGCATTAATGGGACAAAACGAGGACTTTCTCACACATGCGCACATACACGTGCACATGATGTGTTGCTGTATAAGTGCATTAATCTTGTACGAGATCTTGATGCATAAAGGGATTACATGTAAAAAATGAATTGGGAAAAAATTGTTCATCAAGGCTTAAATTGTTAAAAATAAATACAAATATTTGGACAGAAATGTAAGGGATTGGGAGGTTTTTACAAGCTGAATATATCAATGGAGATTAAATGGTTTTGTTTCTATTTGTGACTTTATGATCAATATGAATGCTTTAACATTTAAGATAAAATTTGATCCTTAACCCATGACAGATGTATGTATGGTGTTTGAGGTGTTGGGCTATAACTTGTTGAAGCTTATCATTCGATCCAGCTATCAGGGGATACCCCTCGCCAATGTCAGATGTATAATAAAACAGGTAAGTAGTGTAGGGGAGACAACTCTAGCATTGGTATCTCTTTTAGAATTGCTTTTATCTGTTAATCAATAATTTGTGACTGATGAAAGTCAATAAATTGTCTTTGATGGGCCCTCCTGGGATATAAGTTTCACTTCAGGTTTAGCTGTAGAATCAATTTAGACAAATGGATTTATTTTTTTATAAGTTGGAAAGGAGTTTGAATGCATTTCAATAAATTGTTTTAATCTCTGAACTTGCTTGATAAGTGCCCAATATTCTTTGCCATCATATATCTAAGTTGATATTTAGCCACCAGAGTTAGGACTTTTAAAGTTAAGATAAGTCATTATATCATTTTGTTTTCTTCCCATTCCTCCTCCATATATAACATGGGACTGTTTGCAGGTGCTGCAAGGGCTGCACTACCTTCATGCCAAGTGCAAGATCATCCACACCGATATCAAACCTGAGAACATTCTCATGTGTGTCGATGAAACCCACATCCGGAAGCTAGCAGCTGATGCTTTTGAGTGGCAAAAGCTAGGTCTCAAACTACCAGGCTCTGCAGGTGGGTCACTAATGGAGACTGGCTGCCAGATGTATTTGTAGGAAGGGATTAGCTTTCTGCTTAAGGGGCAAGAAGAAAAGTGTCAAATAGCAGAAGGATGTTTGTTTGGATTTTCATTAGTGCTCACATCTGCATTAAGTGCAAATATTTAATGAGACATGCAAATTATGACATTGATAAATAGTTGTCCTGTTGATTTCACTTCTATTTGCTTGGTGAAGCTGTCATTTTTGCATGATCTAGAGGGTTGTCACTATTCATCAAAAATTTACCCTTGACAATATGACATAATGCCTACCCATGTGTTATGATCCCGTAGGGTTCCGGGTTAGAGTCTCCTGCAACCTATGCAAGTATGAGGTGACTTGATTGGCTTGATGGATTGGGTGGTCATACTTGTGACCTGGTTAATAATGAGTCATTCATTTTTCCTTGTATCCATCACTAGATTGTCTGGTCCAGACTCCATTATTTTCAAGCCACCATCATATAGCTTAAATATTGCTTAGTGCGGCATTTCACAACAAACAAACAAGTACTACTATTTGGAATAGTCAATAAAATATAATCTGGAACATCTCAAACCATGCTGACAATGCACAGTTGGTGGAAATACTTCACCTAACTTTGGTTACTTGGTCATTGGAATTGGCACATTGTTTTCTCTCAAGCACAATGTTCATGTTTTCAGTGAGCACAGCCCCAAAAGAAAAGCCCATGGATCCAAGTAAGATGTCAAAGAACAAAAAGAAGAAGCTGAAAAAGAAGATGAAGAAACAACAACAGCTGCTGGAGATGCAGATGCAACAAATACAGGAATTAGAAGCAGCACCGCAGGTAACAGCTTTGCCCCAACCTTACAAGGGGACAGACACAATAGGACTTTTATGACTAACACGTAGGTGGGATTGGATGGCTGATCAGAGCGTTCTTTGACTGACCACTGTTGTAACTCTTCATCAATGACGTATGAGCTGGAACACTTCAGTAGCTTCATAAGGCCCTTGAGGTTTCCATGAACAAAACAATACTTTGGCTATGCTGTTACTCACATAGCCACGCTTAAAGATCCGGCTTAGAATTGTTTTTCAGCAATCCATGCTTGTAGTATGAAGCAACTATGCTTTTCATAAGAGGCCATTAACGGGTTCAGATGGTGGGACTTGCGGACATGGTTGATATGTCTTCATATCCAAGTTAGTGTAGATCGATGCTCAAAATGTCAATCATTTTTCTGGTCCAGACTGGAAACCTGTTATTACTTAGACTTTTGAAGGTCAGAGTATATTGTAGAACACTGGCTTAAGCTGATATTGGAGGGACACCTGGTGGTGCAGAGTTGCATCCCTTAGTTGCCAAGATGTATACTGGTGTCTGATTCAGATCCCAGATGTACCAATTTTAGTATAGTCTTGGTTGTAGAAGCAAAGGTGGTAGAGTAGTCAGGTTGTTAAAGTGTTTTTGCCTTCACGCTGATAGACCTGGTTGGATTCCCCTCATGTACAATGTGTGAAGCCCTTCTTGGTGTACCCTGACATTTTTATTACTCAAATAATGCTAAAAGTGTCGTGGAGCTTCACTCACTCTTGAAGCTATTAATTCAAAACTAATAGGGATGTGTATTGGCTGTTATAATAATTGTATTGCAGAATATTGTCATACAGGTCATACTGTGTTTGACAGTGATTGACATTAATTTGACATGCAGATAACGAAACATGTTTTATATTTTTACCCAATGTACATGTGCACCGAATAAATATTGCAATGTGTATTGTTTGAAAAACATATTGCAGTATACCAGTACTACTGTGTAGTCCTGTGTTCCTTTATCATAAATTGAGCACTTTGATGTAGTAGACCCTCTTCTTCACAGCTATCTTGTATACCAATGCATCACTTGAAATCAGGTTTTATTTTCCAATGCTGTTATTGCAGACCCCCGAGAACCAGGAAGAAGGGGGTGCACTGACCAACAGTGAGAGTTCCAACAGCCTTCAGCAGCTGGGTGAGATGGGGAGTCTGCCCACCCCTAGTGAGAGCACCAGCAGCCTACAGGAATTAGCAGGAGATGCTGAGAACAGCAGGGACAGCCCACCGCAAGACAACAACGAACCAATCGTAGTAGACAACGCCGATACTGACACCACCACGGACAACAGTGTCAAGACAGAGGAGAACATGGAGGAACAAGAAAATAATAATGCAGCTGGTACGTTCAAGTGACTGGGTTATGATATTATATGTGTATAAAGCATTTATGAAGCTGCTTACTATCATCTTGGACAGCTGCTCAGCGCTTCACAGTATTATTACCCATGTCAGTGTGCACTCAAATTTCATTCTCATCTTCCTGGGGAGTATATAATCCAAAGTGTCTCTGCGGTGCTAGAAGGTTAACAATTACACTACCATTTTATCCTTTTGGGTACCCATTCACTGCTGGGTGAACATTCAATTTTTGAAGTCTCTTGTCAAAGGAGACACCACATGTAACGTGTGGGGCAGGACTGAATCCCTAGAAACTGTCACATTATTATTTCATCCTACTTGATACCCATTCACTGCTTGGTGAACAGGCACATTTCAAGCAGTCACTTGCTTAGGAGACACAACATGTAACATGTGAGGCAGGACTGAAGCCCTAGAAAGTCTCGGGATTCGATCTTGCTGAACACCGCCACATGTCCACCTAACCTCAACTAATGTTTCTTGACTGATTTGTGACCTGTGCACTGTACACTATAAACCCTTGAATCTCAAGACATTAAGCTCTAAATGGCATGAAGTATGATACCTAGGAATTTCAAATATCTATCTGAATGTTTTTGTTGATGAGAGGAAAACTTGTTTTCAGATTTATGAATGTTCATGGACTTTTGATGCTCAGACGTTATATTTGGACCTGACAGGAGATTTCAAATATTGCCATGTTTGTGCATCTAATACTCAAATCTGAAAAAAAAATTTTCTTTTATCAACAAAATTTGTACCAATATTGGAATCATCCCATTATATTGTTAATATGATAAGGTATCTAACGTTCCAGAGCACTGTCTTTCTAGGTGCACTCAACAGCTGTGATACACTTTCCATGTTTGTAGAAATCATAGAAGTGATGTTTGTTGTATGTTTGGTATTACACTGCTCAACTTTTGCTCAGGACAAAAATAATCATCTTTGTGCAAAGCATGGTCTTTAGCAAATATTGAGTAGTACAGTTCTTGAAGGTAACACAATTGTAATCAGTGTTTCACTGGCAATCATCCCTTATTTAGTGTTTCAAATTGAAGTATGAAAGTCAAATGTTCCTTCTATTAAACAATTGTATATTTAGAAGGTCCTTTGAATAGAATACAATCACAGCAGAAGTAAAGAACACTGGAACCTGCTTTGTTTCTAATGATGTGCTATCTTTCAGACATGGACCAGCCAAAGACTACAACAAATTCCACAGATGAAGTTGAGATGAGTTCCGAGTGTCCAGTGATTGAGACTGTGTCACAGAATGATCTCGGCAAAGTTTCGTCCAGTGAGAGCCAGATCACAGCAATTGCCAAGCTGAATGTCACGGATGACGAGACAAAGGAAAATTGTCAACCGATCTGTAACGGCCACGACACTGGAGGAGGAGGAGGCAGCAGTGGAGGAGGGGGGACGCCGGTGGAGATGGACATGAATAAAAATGTGCAGGAGAACTGCGAGGCGGTGACACCCCCTGTTGAGAACGACATGGAACACAGTCAGTCCGAGGGGGGGTCTGCTGAGGATAAACCCCAGGCAGAAGCCCCCTCTGAGGAGGGACCAGACAACAATTCAAACGATTTGACCGGTCAGTGGCTGGTCTGTGGTGTAGTGTGTTTTATCATGTGTAGTTGTGCCAGTGCTTTCGCTGCGGATATATGCTTGTGCCACAAAGGAGGTCATTCATAACGGAGCAGTTTACCTGTGTTGCAGAGGAGTGTTAAGGCTTATTGTTTGGTTAAATTTCATTGATCTGTATTGATGACTTTGTTGGTTACTTGATGGTAATTTGGTGGTTCTGCTTGGGTATGGGTGGCCAATTGGGTGCCTCAAGTAACTTGTTTGGGTTTGAGAACCTAAACAGTGCAAGGTTGGTTGTGGTATGGAGTGTAAGATTCACTCTGTGGTCCTTGGTCTGTCAGCACCATGCTCATACCACTGGAATTTACCACCGTTGTACACATCAACGATTGGTGTCACTTTGCATGCTTTTGGCTTTTGTCCCACATTTCTGACAATGACTGAAATACTGTTCAAAAATGTTTTGGACCAACTCACCACCCAGCTGACGTATTTTCTATCTTGGAATACTTTTGCTTGTGTTTACATTGGGTTCATGAATGAAAACACCTTTACAATGTTTATGCAAAAATAATATGTAAATGTGGGATATTCTATATACAAATGTTGTAAACTGCTTTGATTAATTTTTCACTTCCATTATTTTCAGTTGAAAAAGCCAACAGTGTAGACAGACCTGATCCAGTCAGGGAGGTCTGTGATATACCTGTGAAGATAGCTGATTTGGGAAATGCATGCTGGACGGTAAGCGACAAGGTTCTGGGTAGTCACCCTGTACCATACTTATCGTCACATTCCTTGAATGATGACCTGAGGAGATTCGGGTATAGAATGGGTCCCCAGTAACCTATGCTTGTTGTGAAAGGTGGCTAAAATGGATCAGGTGTCAAGCTTGGTGACTTGTTAGATTGGGTTTCATCGTACCCTGACAACCACGTATCATGCTCATTTTGTCACTGGTTTGTCTGGTACAGACCCCATTAGGTTCTGGGTTAGAACATTTTTAGAAACCTATGCTTGTTGATCATGTATCATCGTGGTTTGATAACATGTCCTATACCCCAACGTGGTGAATCGTTCATAACATCAAAATCAATTGATTATCTGATCCAGATTTTATTATTGCCCTATTGGTAGAATACTGCTGACTGCAGTGTTAAACATTCACTGGTTCAGATGAAGATACATTTGCAGAGATGGTAGTATGATATTTTCATCAACTGACAACATGGACAAGCCCCAATAATTTTAGCATATCATATATCAGTTTCCCTCTAAAGAATACTTGGCCTCAACACTGCTCAAAGTTGGGAAAAAATTGCAATCTTGATGTCTATTTGTCAACTATATTTTGCATGTTCTGTGACTAGTTTATCATGTTTATTGTGCTTGTTCAAATGACTACTTGTGGAAACTTCATATGATGATCCTAAAGCCTTCAGACAGCTGTTATTACATCTGCTAAACTGTTTTCAATAGCTCAGCAAAATAAGCAGTCAGTTTGGTCCTGACTTTCATGGCTTGAAGTTGAGTTCTTTCATCAGTCACATATATAGAATACTAAACGAGCTCCCGTGTAATACCAATTTTATGAAACGAGTGAATAGTTGTGGTATGTGACGGGCGTTTTTAGAATTATACAGTTGAGTATGAATAGGCTGACACCTACACAATCCACGGCATTGTCCAATTGAGTTTAACAGAATAATACTTCAAACATGTCATAAGTTGAAAGGTATGAATTAATACCATACAACGGTCCACCTTTAGAATTCACAAAATTATCGTAGGGCTAAGACTATCGCAACTCACATACTTTAACTTAGACTAACGACTGTCATTGCGCTACAATCGATTGTCTTGTGTAACGGGCCTTGCACCTCAAAGTTTACAGTAAAGTCACAATACCCGATGACGTAATTTGTGGAATTTTGTTGCAAGATCCATCAGCGAAACAATGCCATGTGACGTCAGCCTAGCAACAAGGTTGCTGGGGTCATCGAGTGTGCATAAGCTCCTCTCAGTGATCTATCAACAATGTCATTGAATAAGCCAAGGGATGTTGAGAGCTTTCAATATTTGTTTGTGAAACGTGTTCCGAGAGTACATAAGCACGCGTTTTGGTATTACACAATGTGTAATACAGCTGTATGTTTATTAAACGGGTGATCTCTTCACGGGCAAGTAATAAACAGGCTTTTTAAATCTCCAGTGACGTCATAGTATTGTTCTTCAGTCAGGTTAAATTTCATAACTAGGGATGTTATCATATCCAGGGGAATTTATTTTTACAACTTCCGTTTATATTGTAACATATGAATGTTTCTCGTCAGAAATATATTTTGCACTTGAACACTATGTAATGAAATGTAAAATCAAATGACAAATGTTTTCTTCATGTTAATGCAACATGCAACCTTCGTATCTGTAGCCCATTGACTATACAACAAGGCTTCAGACACGCTGATAAATCACAATGCTTTTAAGGCTACCCAAAAAAAATTATATTATTGATTCTCAGGCACCGCCACATCATCACAAAGTCCTCCGCACGTTTCGTTTTTATTTCCATTTAAATTTTTTTTTTTTTTAAATCCTTAAATATTCCACGTCTCAAACACTCGACCCCAACAGTGAATTGCTACAATACTTAAAAACTATGTGATCCAATAGAACGTGCAATTACTTCCCTTTTCATGTGCACTGCTTTACCATGTTTACTGCACATCTCTTGTGTAAGGCTGTTTTGCTGTTTGCAAATTTGGTCAATCAAAACATTAAATTTGCGATACAACATCATTAGACATGATGATTTACAAATTCAATGGTATTTGTACGTAAAGCAATATCTGGTGAAGTGGCTATGTTGAATTTGTGATGGTTCTTTAGGATCTGAATTCTCTCCTTCCAAAATCAGTGAAGCACCACTAAGCTCCCAGCTCTTTAACCTCAGGTATGCCCTTTCAGGCCTTGATTAATGTTGTCTTGAGGTTGTGGTTGATTTCTTATGATCATGATGATGGAAAGTATCTGGACAGGTGCTCACTGCTTATTTTATGCAACCTATGCTTATTATAAGAGGCGGCTTACAGGATCAGGTGGTCAGACTCACGGGGTTGGTTGATGCACGACATCGTATCCCAGTTGCATAAGATTGAGACTCATTTCAATCTCTGGCTAGCCTGGTACGGACTTGATTATTTACATTTCGCTGTCATATAGTTGGAATATAGTGCAGTTTTTAAAGAACATCCAACACCAAACAAAACAAACGTGTGAGGCATTCTTAATCACACTACAAGTTTGCCTGGTCAAGATGGCAGGATACATCTGCAGTGTTTCTAACCACAGTGATGTAAAACAACATTCACTTGTGAATTGATGTAATTACCCCATGGAGATTTGTATAGGTCTCCAGTAATCTGTTTCTCCATCATGTGGGGATTCTGGGTGATTCCGGGTTAGACTAGCTCTCAGCAACCTATGCTTGTCTACCCTGTGAGGATTCTGGGTGAGAAGAGGTACACAGCAACCTATGCTCGTCCACCCTGTGGGGATTCTGGGTGATTCCGGGTTAGACTAGCTCTCAGCAATCTGTGCTTGTCCACCCTGTGGGGATTCCGGGTTAGGATAGGTGTCCAGCAATCTGTGCTTGTCCACCCTGTGGGGATTCCGAGTTAGTATAGGTGTCCAGCAATCTGTGCTAGTCCACCCTGTGGGGATTCCGGGTTAGTATAGGTGTCCAGCAATCTGTGCTTGTCCACCCTGTGGGGTTTCCGAGTTAGTATAAGTCTCCAGCAATCTGTGCTTGTCCACCCTGTGGGGATTCTGGGTTAGTATAGGTGTCCAGCAATCTGTGCTTGTCTACCCTGTGGGGATTCCGGGTTAGAATAGGTCTCAGCAACCTATGCTTGTCCACCCTGTGGTGATTCTGGGTTAGTATAGGTGTCCAGCAACCTATGCTTGTCCACCCTGTGGGGATTCCGGGTTAGTATAGGTGTCCAGCAATCTGTGCTTGTCCACCCTGTGGGGATTCTGGGTTAGTATAGGTGTCCAGCAATCTGTGCTTGTCCACCCTGTGGTGATTCCGGGTTAGTATAGGTGTCCAGAAATCTGTGCTTGTCCACCCTGTGGGGATTCTGGGTTAGTATTGGTGTCCAGCAATCTATGCTTGTCCACCAAGTGGGGATTCCGGGTTAGAATAAGTCTCAGCAACCTATGCTTGTCCACCCTGTGGTGATTCTGGGTTAGTATAGGTGTCCAGCAATCTATGCTTGTCTACCCTGTGGGGATTCCGGGTTAGAATAGGTGTCCAGCAACCTATGTTTGTCCACCCTGTGGGGATTCCGGGTTAGAATAGGTGTCCAGCAATCTATGCATGTCAACCCTCAATCCTGTGAGGATTCTGGGTAAGAAGAGGTACACAGCAACCTATGCTTGTCTTAAGATGTGACCAAACAGATTAAGTGGTCAGGCTCAGTGACTCAGTTGATAGTGTTTATGTTGATGGCTTTGAAAGTGTGACATTGACAAATACAAATGCACACTGAGAATGCAAACTTTTAGCATCTGTAGTCATGGTAGTCATAAAAAACCACTCATTTTACAATAGAGACGCTCAAGTTTATTTTTGAATTGGCAATTGTGGTGAACCAGTGATCGATTTAGAGATATTTAACAATTGCCCACGTTAACATTCTTGATGTATAAAGATTCACAGTCTGTGCCATAAACTTTCGAGTCTACTACCCCAAACATGTCTCTAACTAAGTCTTACCATCATTTTCAGTTGAGCTTAGTGATATCATATGGACTGTTTTGTTAGCTGAGCTTACAAGACTAAACTTTTACTAGACTCGAGACTGAGACTAGTGGCTTAGGTTGCAGACTGTATTCAGCTTAAGTGTTTTTTGTTGGAGTGTCTGTATGATGTTTGAGTCGTACACATGTTCAGGTGACCCCAGTCATCAATGGCACTGTGATCCTCAGTGCAGAGTTATGTCCCTTACCCTTGCTTAGATCCGCTGGACGTGGGAAAAAGTCCTGAAGAAACCATGATTGTGATCCTTGATCTGTTTCACCAAAGTGGTGTGTATTATGACCTGAGTTACTTTCAGCCGACCTCTCACATTAGGCTGACATGCCATTATGTTGGTATTGAAACCAGCAATAAGCCGACATCACATCACATCACCTGTACTTGTCCACCTTGTGGGGATTCCAGGTTAGAATTGCTCCCTAGCAACCTTTGCTTGTTGTAAGAGGCAACGAAATGGATTAGGTGGTCAGACTTGGTGACTTGGATGCATGGTGTCATCGTACCCAGATGGTGTGGTTCGTTCACAATATCAACATCAGAATTGATTATTTAAAGCTGTTATATAGCTGGAATATTGCTGTGCTGAGTCAAACAACACACAAACATTAACTTGTTGTACATATCATGTGTTTCAGTATCACCACTTCACTGAGGACATCCAGACCAGGCAGTACCGCTGTCTTGAGGTGTTGGTAGGGGCAGGCTACGGCACACCTGCTGATATATGGAGTACAGCATGTATGGTAAGGATCTTCCCATGGTAATTCAGGACCACTTTTCTGGAAAACTACTGACTGCTGGTTTGAATGACCTTTGCCAAAAGGAATGGTAGCGCTAATATTATTTTAACTCTGGCTGTTTAACATTGACTCACAATGGCAAAATACCGGCTCTCGGTCATATCAGTTCATCCACCTACTCACTCATGATGACAGTCGTATGTTCTTGTGTATATAACAGAAAGTTTACAGAAAGCACTGCGGTTTAGAAGGGGTATTAAAATGCCTAGTAACTATCAACAAAGCAATTTAGTTACATCAATGTTTGAACCAATCTCTGACAAAAAATTTAACTTTTGATAATACTTGGTCGATTTTCTAAGCGCCCTGGCACTGGAAAAATATTATGGTGAGTGCGGTAACTGAAAAACTGTAGTAGGTAGTTGACTCAAACAAACTCACTCAAAATGAGCAAAATTTGATATGTAATGATGTCATTAATTCCACTTTTCCATCAGCTTGATTTTGCTTGGCTCATTAACGTGTTGCATCTAATTTTTCAAATGAATTCATTTTTCCTTCAGGCGTTTGAGCTTGCAACTGGTGATTATTTATTCGAGCCCCACTCTGGAGAAGGATACACCCGAGATGAGGACCACCTGGCCCATGTCATAGAGCTCCTCGGTCCCATTCCCAGGCATATAGCACTGTCAGGAAAATACTCCAGGGAGTATTTCAATAGGAGAGGTGAGTCTGGCATGTACTGAAAGTTAATGTTCATTAAGAGTAGTCAGCAGAGACTTTAGGGCTATTGCTGTCTTAATGTACAGTCAAGTCCCGTTAATCCGAATAAGTCATACAGTCCGTAACAGTAGTTTTGTGTTTAGCTTTAGAGGTTGCATGATTAGAAAACATATTCCACTAACAATATAACATAACAATATGAATATTTCATTTTTATTTTTTCTATTACGTGTTCGTATCATTATCTATCACGTAGTTGTCCGATTTTCGATCACAAAAGTTGATACTGCTTAATTTCGTTAATCCGACATAATCATATGCAACCAACCATGTCGGATTAATGGGACTTGACTGTAGTTGGTCCATGGTAGCCTGAATGACTGGGGGGGGTTCTATTTGGAACTGAAAATTGTGGAGAAAGAGTTTGTAGTATGTATGAAATATTACATGATCTCTACGGGAGAAAGTTTGTACTGTTCAGTTAGGACCCCACCAACTCATGCTATCATGAGAGATAGGTTGGCTTTTTCTGTTTTATGATATCCTTGAACAGAACACCATTTATGGATTGTTTTAGTAAAACTTCAGGGAAACAAGATTCTGTTACCATTGTTTTTTTTCCATATGTTCCAGGCGAGCTGAGACATATAACCAAGTTGAAGCCATGGCAGTTGTTTGATGTGTTAACAGAGAAATATGAATGGGACCCACAAGAAGCACATGAATTTGCAGATTTTCTCCTTCCAATGTTAGAATTTGACCCGGACCAACGTGCTACTGCTGAGGATTCTTTAACTCACCCGTGGCTCCACTCCTGACCTGGAGTCCCCTCCCTGATCCCCCTCCCTCCCTCCCTCCCCATCAGTAACTGGGTCTTCACCTGACTGCCACATGACCAGGCAAGGAAGCTACGATCTTGTTTAGCTGTGTTTGTGCAGACTATCTAGCATGTAACCATCACTTGCTGTCTCTCACCACGCCTGTGTACTGACTGACGTATGTACAACACCATCACTAGTGATACCGTGCATTGCTGTACTGCGTCATTCACCCCTCGTATAGTGCCTGTTTGTTTGAAACGACTCTGCGAAAGGCTGTTTGGAATTCCTTCCAGAACCCACAAGAAATAAGAGGGCTTTTTCAAAGGGTTATGATGCATATTACTTTTGCATATTGAGATTGCGCTTGGGATATATCACTATTTTCATGGTGCTGCCTAGATGAAGTAACCACAAGCTTGAAGTTCATGTGAACAGAGGTTGACAGAGACAAATATCATTTCTTGGAGGACCCTTTGAAAGAGCTGCCTGTTGGTGTTGTTTCTTGGTTAAACAGTGTGGGTTTCTGACTTGATTTGACTCATGATCTGTTCAAACAAACAGGCTGTTGGAAATATTATTGTCAATGGAAATCTATTGTTGCAGATAGTGGGCTGTTGTAATCATAATAACCTGTCATCATCATAAGTGTCCACGATGATAGTTGGATGTATCATCAGATCATCAGTAACAGCTTGAACTGCACCCTGCGGGGCCATCCATCACCAGTCCGCCTCATCCTCCTAGTTCTGCCAGCCTCCTTCGTGCTAACCCAGACATAGGACCTTAGAGAAACTGGCTGCCACACTGGTTTCATGTTTGTTACTTGTTCGCTGTCTTCTCATGTCCATAGTGAAGGTTGTGCATTTCAAGTTTACAGAGACCGTTAATTGTTGAATTCATTGGATTTAAGATTGCCTGGAACCCAGATACAGATACATGTGTGGAAACACTTATCGTGTGTTATGTTAGAGGCCTTTGCGTTGAATGAACTGCATACTCTTCCCACGACACCGAAGCAGCCCTGATTCATCCATTGTCCATGATGCTCCTGGCAGACTGACATAGGATAGAGTTGCAGCATTACTGATCATGGCCTGTCTGGACTCCTCATTGAACCATATGTATATAGTGCTCATCCTCTACAATGCAACTCCTGGAAGCAAGCATTATGCATCTAGCCACCCAGGCACCACTTGTGTTATGCCCAGTGTCCACCTCAAAGCCAAGCTGCAGTAAGCAGCACCGAGATCTCATCCTGTAGTAATAGACCTGTAAATCAGTGGGATATCCGCCCAATTCACATTTTGTTTTGTGATCAGACAAAAACACATTTCGTACTTGATAATCCATTTCTGCCTAAAGTGAAATATTTCGCAGTCAAATGGAATTTGGATGTTCAAGTATGAAATATTCCATGCTGTCTCATTTGGTGTCATTGCCTGAATTCCGTTGGTTATTCAGTGAAGCTATTTTTTTTGTTTGGTGAAGACATTCATGGCATATTTCTGTTTGAGGTGGACTAGAGGAAGCATGTAAATGTTGTACACAGTTATAGAGACTTGATACGGAGCACTCTTGTAGTCATCACTATGTTAATATTATGACAAACTGTACATGTATGCAAGTCTACCTGGTGGTTCAAACATACCCATCATTCAGAGATGGTTAGTACCAGTCAGTCATCCCTTGTCAAGCTTGTCTTGCTGTATTTTGTTGACAAATTTATGGAGTAAAACAATCCTGACTTGTGAAATATGCGATATTGTTCACTTGCTACGAATGATGTACCAGTGTTTTTGTTTGTCTTGTTTTAAAGATGTACATTTGTATGCTGTGAAACCGTGCTGGTTCGGACCCTGTTAGTCTTGGCACAATTCCATCTGGAACCTCCTGTATAAAATGTATGAAAAGGATATTTATCCTTTCTGTGACATAAGCCACAAGAAACCCAAAGCAGGGAAAATCTATTTTGGTCAGCTAACAAAAATCATATATTATGCCAGTATGTTAATGAAAAAATCTGCAAAGATAAGTTTGGGCAATGAGACAAAAATGTTCTTGTCACAGTCTGTTACCTCTGAACAAGGATTTTGTTCATCCTTAACTTTTGTTAATGCAGACAAAGGGAACTGTAGTGTCTGGATCAACGGTTTCACTGCAGAGCCGAAACAGCTACATTGCACTGTCTTGAAGTTCCTGATAATCCACTTGTCAGAAATATTTACTACTGTCTGGTTCTGTCTTTAGATCTGTTCATTAAGTCTTTGGTTTGCTATTGCTGAAAGCCTAGTATCCAGAACACTTGTTCTCAGTTCACAGCCGTGATTCAGGCATGCAATATAATGATTTTCACGTACCGGTAGCAGCGTTGACCTGATTTCTGATATGTAGAGTCTAGTTTACCCTCAATGAATCTCTGCATACAGCTTATGAGAATTATTTGTCTCTAGCAAGTTGAACATATTTTATGTATTTCAATGATCAATGTAAGAGTTTAGGTCTTGAACAGAAACAGGTTTTTTTGTACATTTTTGCACCAAGTTACTGTTCATTATAATAAGGTAGTTTAGTAGGGACTGAAATTCATTTCTTCACTTTTGCAGAAAGACTGAATGTCCACATGTCCACATTTGGAAGGTTTTGTCCCAGGGGGTGTAAAAACTCAGGGGATACATGATAAACATTTCACGATATAATATTGGGGTTGGGTTACGACAAATGTCATACATTTCATTATATCATGTAGGGGTTGGTTTACAACACATGATGTTATCCAATGTTTTTTCTTTCCATCAACATGATCAATGGACTGTGTGACTCTCAGCTTAAGACAATATTATTATCCAAACTGACATGTTTTTATGTCAATCTTGAATAGTCCATTTCAGTTTCTTTTCTGAAATGTAATGTGTAAGTATTGTGGACTGATCAGCTATTGAAGGACTCTCTTTAAGCAGTAAAAATATTGTTGGTACTGTGATACTGCCTGTGCAAATAAGATGTCTCATATTGTGAGACGTCGTGATATGAACCTGTTTCACGGTTACACCATTAACTTTAGAAGATACACAGTTGATGCTTTAGGCTAGGGCTTCTTTGCATTGTATAGTTCGACAGAGCTGAAGAGTTATCTGAAAACCAAAGACCATTTCTTTTTTGAGATGCCTGTTCAGCATTCGTTTGAAGCTGTGCTATTGATTTTGTGATAAGACAGAAATAATTACAACTATTTTTTAAATACAAATCTACACTTCCAATAATTTACTGCGTCATATAATTGGCTTGCATTCATGGAATTTGATGTTGATTTCAATTTTATGAAATTGTGTATGTATGATTAAGCTAGGCTTTTCCTACTACCGGGTTTTTGTTATATCTTCCCAGATACACCTGAGCTCTAGCTATGTCACGAACATTTAGAATGTGTGAGTTAAACCCCTGAGAATTGGTCCACATTTCTGAGAAACAATTCTGTGGCAAGTGCCGTAAAAACACTTGTGGCGAGTGCCGTGAAACAATTCTGTGGCGAGTGCCGTGAAACAATTCTGTGGCAAGTACCATAAAAACAATAGTGGCGAGTGGCATGAGCCAGTTCTGTAGTGAGTGCTGTTGAACTTCAGTCCCCTCATGGCTTTGGCACAGACTTCTAGAAAAAGCATATTTTTTCCTATGAACAAACTAATAACCTAAATGTGATATTTATCCGACAACTGTTTTTATACTCTATGTGGCATTCCATCAACTAATATGACATCACTATTCAAGATTAACTTACAAGCATACATATTCACTGGATCATAGGGGACAACAATATCCAGGAGTTAAGTCATTCCATGATTACAGATTTGGAGAGGAGTCTTTTATAAAGCAGTGACCAATTATTTTTTATCTGAAATTGTAGAGAGATGTTTTGGTTGATTATATGAACCCTCTATTCCTAGTCTTTGTTTGGGGGTTTACAGCTGGTTTATTCACAGGGTAGCCTCATGTAGTAGGGTAGCCTGATGCTTGGTGACCTCGCTCGTCGTCGCAGCAGAACCACTTGATCAGGGTACAATTGTGAAACCTGACATTACAGTTTTTCGTGTCCTCCGCTGATACTGCTAAAATCCTCATTTGGTTTGTCACAGTTGCTGCCCTGTGACCAGTGGAAATCTGGAAGTACTAGTTGTTACGGAAACCACCAGCTTGTATTTGAAAGGAGCTGTGAACTACTTATATTAACACACGGTCTCTGTCCCTGACTCTCATATGTTTTTCCTTTTAAATGTTCATGTTCATATTGTTTCAAAGTCTCATGTTATTGAAATAGATTATATGTGTCTCTGAAAACTAAACAAATTGTAAACATTCTGATTTGACATAATGGTACCTAGCAAATAGGTATTTGGGAACCTTGACTTGCAAGTATTAGGGAAGCAGTTTTTAGTTATATTTGTTCAAATAGGCTGTATGTCTATGTAAATGTCTTTAGACACTCTTTCAAGAATTCAACTACATCAGATTGTGCCCTTTCTGTTAATTCTGTTTATCAAAGATATGTTTCTCCCTGGTCTAATTAAGTGTTATTTCTTCGTAGATGATCATTCTTAAGCCTTTCGTTCAGTGATCAATGAGTCTGCTACTGGATTTGATGCTAACACAGTTATGGAAAGTCACTTTGAGATGTAGTCCCTCACACTGCTCACTGTACAGCCATTGGCATCTGCTACCTCAAGGTTCTAGTTTGCAGTGGTAGATCAGTGCTGCATCTCAAGGACAAAAACACTTAAACTCCAAAGTCCTGTATGGCAAACCATACCTTATTTCTTCTGATCTCACGATGCCTGTGCAGGGCCATGTTGACCCACAATGCACCATTCGGTAGTTAGTAAAAATGAGTTAACTGTACTTAGACTGGTAATGTACACATCTATTGGAGAGAATTATAAGTCAAATAAAATAGACAAATCTGCTTCATTGGGTCTTTATTTATTTAAGATTTTTATATTTGATTACCGGTACACTATTTTAGAATGCTAAGGGTTTTTTGTTTATTGTTTCATGTAGTATTAGCACACAGTTTTGCAAACATATGTTTGGAACATTTAGTCTTCAGTGTTGGGGATGCTAACTAAGATGCTCATTGATTAATGTATATGTAGGGTCAGTATGGTGAACAGCCTCAGAGGCAGGTCCAGGATTTTGTGAAAGGGAAGGTGCACGCAATACCCATGTCACAAAATTATTGGGTGTCTGAAAAAAGGCATACGCACCCCCTCTCTGAATCTGTAAGTGATTGTTCAGTTATGTGTGAAAGCTGTGATGTATATTGAACGTTGAAAACCCTAAGGCCCTGAACATGCATGCTTGTTTGTTTCCACAGCTCTTGTAAAGGAAAACATTACATTACAATCGGAAGTTGTTTGGTCTGATCTGAAGTTGTCTGGTCTGATCTGAGTGAAAATGAAACATTTTTAAATTTGTTTGTATATAGAGGATTCAAGTAATAGCGTTTTGATAAATAAGAGTCTAATTATTCATAAGATGGTATTATTTATAGCAAGAGCGGCCTTAAGAAATAAGTGCAGAATTGTCATCAGCATGACAGTTGAGCTGTTTCTAACATGCTTTCATAGACAGTTGCCAGTTTACCAAGAAATACAAGCATCAGAACGAAGTGTGTGTGCCTAGATATTTCAGTGCTGTCAAAACTTTATTTGGGACAGTCATTAGGAGATCAAAGGAACACTTTATGATACAGGTTATTTCTTTATAATGTTCTCTAACAATATCTTAGTACTCAGTTGACAAGAATCACTCCTGGTATAGTCCTTAAATGCAATAACTAAAGTATGCAGATTTTACACTTGACAATTTTTAAAGATCAATAAGACTTCTCTGTCATCCTCAGCTGTCCTGAGAATGGAGTTCCTGTGTTGGCACTACTAGACATGCTGAATAGTGCAAGGCTGCATCTGTGTACATAGCTACTGTTTGCCTTGTATAGGATGTGAAGTGGAACACTATTAGGCGGTACTTTTAAGAAAGAATTGGTTTACGGATTCAGATGACTGACAAAAATTTTAAAAATCTGTCCCGGAAAGCAGTTATTTATTCGGCTGCATACAAACTTACATAACTTTAGAACAACAAAACAGAAATCTGAAACGTCATCATACCAATCGTTATTTTTCAAACAACAATCCGTAAACCAAGAAATTATAAGTCTGGCCTAACTGCTGTCGATTTCTTTATTTATGAAAAAAACTCCTGTTTACCAGCTCTCAATGTGATTTTGAGTAATGACATGACTGCTCAACAGCTTTCCTGATACCCGTACTCCCGGGGTATGGTTTCAGGCATTGACACACATCTTGCAGAGTTTGGTGCGTTGGTGAACACGGTTAGTTGATGTTCACTTGTTGACGTGTACATAGCAGGCACAAACGACACTAAATATGGTCCTGAGTCCCGTTTCACAAACCGATCTTAGTGCTAAGACCATCGGAACTCCGCAACTGTAACACTGACTTGCAGTAGCGCAAAGATTGTTTTGTGGAACAGGACCTGATCCACACCTGTGCTGGGGATATCGGCCTTATGCAACATTTCATTTTCATTGACATCCATTAGCAAGCTAAATGGACTCGTCCCTTGTATTGTTGTTTCTGTTCAGTTCACACCTAATGGAACTTTTTATGACCAGTTTGAGATGTATATTTCAGGAAAGAATAGCTCGACTGAGCTTGGATGTTAAAAGTGCTTGTTACCATGGTTACAATATCATTTGTGATTTAGTTTGCCTTTGCTGTTTGCATGCTCTATGTATACAATTGTAAAAAGGACTACCACAAGCCCAAACTGTTCAAATAAAAAGGGCTTGCATTTTTTCAAGGTTTTGTTTTTTTCTTTATCAGCTAAAACTTGGGATCCCAGTGTATTGGAAAAATATTTTATTCTTTTTTTATGACATTTTGCACACAAAAGCTATATGTTGTGTTCAAAGTGAGTGAATGTTGTTATACGCTGCAGTCATCACAATATCAGACTGCCTGCAGTAATGATAAATCTGGATCAGGCAAACCAGTGATGAAGACATGATCATGTGCATTGATCAGGATGTGGTGACACAATCAGTTAAGTCACTGTCTGACAACACATCAATATTTGTCAGGAACTCGGGATCAGTAATAGATTGCTGGGGACATGTTCAAATCTAGGTTCAAAGGGGCTGTGATACTAAGTATTAGAAACAAGATTATTGTTTTTCAACATCTGTTTGGGTAATGTGAGAAGGGTTTAGAGAAAAGTTTGGATTTTAAGAGTTTTTTTATTGAAGAAATCCTAAAACCAAAATATTATTTGTTACTTTTATTTACCAAAGCTTTGTTTCGAATTCAAAAGGAGCAGGGCTGTCCAGTTCTCAAAGGCATGGCAATTTGCTTTCCGTTAGGCAGCCAGAAGCCTATCATCTTGGCTTTGGCACCTTTCTGGTGCTTGTGGTTTTTGGCAGTGGTAAGCCTCTCAGACCTGCTTCACCTTGGGTTTTCTACAGTTGACCCTGTGACATAGATTTAGACTGAATTGCCAGTTCACTATTGTCTGTCTGATCAAATGGTTCACTATATCAACCACATGTATGCAGCTACAGTAACACAGGTTGTAGCCCTGTCAGTGTTGCTCATGTAAAGACAAAAGAATAGTTCTTAGTAGCTTCCTTCAAATAAGCTGAATGGGCCACATGGCATAGCACACAACCCCTAACATAATGGGATGTTTTATGAATTGCAAATGTGCTATACATTACAGTGAATTAAGAAATGGAGGAGTGGGAGTTGTTAATGGTACAATAAAACAATGCCCTGCATTGTTTATTCTCCCTGCAGTGTTTCCTGTGTAGGAGAAAACAAGTCCCAGGGTTTTTATGAGATTTTGATCCTTAATCCAAAGGATAAAACCGAGAGGTGTCAGCCCCAAGGTTTTATCCCCAAGATATGGGCTTTAAATGTCATAAAAACCTGAGGGTAAGTTTTTTATCAAACCTATATGCCGAAAAAAGAAGCTTAAAACAACACTTGTAAACATTTTATGTTTCAAACAGTTTCCATGAACCTTAGTCTCATAGTGCAATATTAAAGTCGTCCTATTTACGCCATCAAGTTGCGAGCGCATGTTCGAGTCTCCAGAAATGACATGATAGAACATGCTTGAAACTGGGTCAACACAACCTCACTAAGCAAACGTCTTTGGTCTCGGCCAAAGTGTGATCAGCAGGGGATGGAATCGATACGTTTGAATCAGCTATCCGGTCGACATCACACAGCATCACACAGCAGGAGACAGGTTTCTCCTGGTTGCAGCAAGACGTCAACACCCCGTGACTGCCACCACACTCAGAAATGACATGCGGGACGTGCGTGGCATTAACGTTTCTGCTCAGACGGTGCGTAATCGTCTCCGTGGGGTTTGTCTTCGGTTACGAAGGGCATGACATCCCGGGCAGGCACATTATGATTGGGCTGAAGATCGGGTCCATGGGCTCCAGTACTTTTCACTCATACTGTCTAGACTTCACAGATCGTCATGACCGAGTGTGGCATGGACGACGTTTCAGGATTTCAAAGTAGCCGTCAGATTCTCTCATTTGACGGGTGATCTGACTGATTATTGGTCACATTTTGTTTGTTGGCATTGTGTGGCACATGACAACGGACTTGTGTTCATTAAACAGGTCTTCACGCAATATTGTCTTTGGCTATTTCAATAGATGCACACAGTTTGACGTATTACCTTTAAATGTGTCGATCCTCAGCAAACTTTGAGTAGTATGATAATGGGAGTCCCCTTGCGATTGATCTGCCATGGGTTAAATATCTTTTCGAATTCAGTGAGGCCGGTCACCTGCAGAATTCGGTTTCACTCTGGTTGGTTACGTAGAAAAACATTCTGTTTGCTCTTGACGCAACGCATAAAGTTAAGCAATGACCTACGGAGGGTCCGTGGGGTGGTCTAGTGGTAAAGGCGTTCGCTCGTCACGCCGAAGACCCGGGCCCGATTCCCCACATGGGTACAATGTATGAAGCCCATGATATTGCTGAAATATTGCTAAAAGTGGCGTAAAACCATACTCACTCACTCACTCACTCAATGACCTACGGTCGTTGTGTAAATCCACCGTGTTCCATATCTGCCTGGATCTCTGCGTCATTGATCCATGACTTGTCAACACCGCATACAAAGTATTGTACGTACTCGATGTACACAGCCATCGATTATTTTGGCAATCCCTCCACACACGTTGAGCAAGTGAGAGTTGATGACTGCTGAGTACATCTACAGCAAACTGGAATTGATGGATTTTGTTGGTATTGATGGATTATGAATCCGCAGATTCCCTTCAAGCCCCAAGTGCTTTTATGAACGCTTTAAAAGATGGTATCGGCCGAACCTTTTCATAAAAGAGAATTTCTTATAAGACGGCAATTAGAGTATGAGTGAGTCAGTTTGGTTTAACGTCATTTTGAACATCATTCAAGCTATATCGCGCCCTGCCAGCTTTTAGTGGGAGAACAGCCCGAAGTAATGAAGGTCTTGGACGTTTACCACTTTGGTGAAACCCACCAGCACGGGTATTGTGCTGACAAACCAAGAAACATATTCAGGGCTAACGGAATTCAAAGCCACGACCCTAGGTTTCTGGCGCCCCACGGGACGCAACTCTGCAAAGCTGTGTACGGGTCCATTCTTTCACAAACACAATGACCCATGAAGAGCCGGGTTAGAACAGGTGTTCAGCAACCCACGCTTGCCCCAAAAGGTGGCTATGCCCAACGGGATCGGTTGGTCATGCTCACTGGTAACCGAACTGCGTGGATCGATGCTCATGATATCCATCACTGGATTGTCTGGTCCAGACTTGATTATTTACTCACCGCCGTCATATAGCTATAACATGGCTGAGTGCGGCGTTAAAAAACAAACAAACAAAAGCAAACACAATGTTAATCTTCAGTGAAGGCACTCTGTCGATACACTGTTTCATACGCCTCGTCATACTGCCTGTTAAACTGTCTATTGAAGAATGGGGTCCATTAAACTAATCGTGTCAATCAATCGCGGCGCAAGCGTTCTAGACTGCAACTTCTCAACCATTGTCCTCCATGAGCTGCCAGACATTTTTAATGGTATTAAGAAGCGGTCGGAAAATCAACGTTGTTGTCTGTAAACCTGCGTTCGGTGAACACTGACGTATGGGGACAGGCATTGTCCTGCTGTAGCGCAAATAGAATATAACTTTGTCCTATGGCGGAGTCTAAGAGGCCTTCCTGAAGAATTTTGACATTACTGTTACCCTCCACAAAGACAAGGGGAGTAACTCTCAGCATAAGATACGGATTACCACATTTTCAGACGCGGCGAAAACTTGGGACCCTTTCTCACGGCCTGTCCTTCAGAAATGGAACATTAGAGGGATTTTCCGTGAAACTGATTTCAGTAGTCAATTCGTGTAGAGTTCTACTAACTGTCTATTTTGATGCCCTGTTCTTCCAATTTGTAGACCCAAGTTGTTTAGCGGATCGCTTCGGATGAGGGGGAACTGAACAACACGTCGTCTGTTGTTAGCGTCGTAAATGGGCCGACGTCCTCGTGCAAGCAGACGCGATGCATCACTGTCTGTGCAGTTTTGAACCCATTTTTGTCGTTATAACGTATTTCCTCCATTAAAGGCCGGACTTTAAGTAAACGCCGGGCAGTTTTTATACACGTAATTGTTCCACTTGTTATCTTTGCGATTACAGGCCGTGGGAAAAGAGTGTCTGCGTAACATTCATGCCCGTGCGTCTAATCGAGGAAATATGGTAATAGAGATGGCATCGTTTGAGGATCTGACACAGGACCAAAAGTTGGATTTTTCACCTTTGAAACAAACACAAATACAGTAGGGACTGCATGGAATGACCGGATTTCCGTATAATTCCCGATATGAACAAACTTTAGGAGTATATTTCATATGAAGCTGCATGAGCACCATTGTCATGCACATAATGACCGGATTTGCAGAAATTTCCAAAAATGACTTCCGAAGTTGATATCCCAAGTAAATACTTGCATTTCTTTTGATTGTCATAGGTTCAAATATTTCTAACTATTTTCTAAATTTACAAGGATTTAAAATATTTCCTTGGGCGAGGAAACATTTCTTAATTTGTATTTTTTCAGCATTTACATGCCTTAGAAAGGGTATGTATTTGAACATTTTTCATACGCTCATATTACCGGTACTAAAACAAAATGATGGATAGATATAGTTGTATCGCGTGAATACCCCTTTAAACGCCTAGGCCACCAGCTCAACAATTGGAGTATGAAATATATAAAATAGCACGGCGACGGACAAAGCAATTAAGGGTTATTTCTAATTCTACTTTTTTAAATATCTGCAAATCTGTGACATGAGATGATTCACTGGGGCCGGATTAGAACTTCATTGATGTACCTATCACTATGAAAGGTGTATTCTTAAACACAGCTTCGTGTATAGTTTGTGATTCTCCTGTGTATTTACGTTCGGCGCGAATAGCTGCAAAACTGCGGATGCGGCGTTAAACAATATCCACTCACTCACTCAGTATTTACGTATGTTCTTTCAGTATTTGAGGGGGCACGGATGGCCCAATCGTCTAAGGCGCCGCAATTCGCTGTGTAGAGTTGCGTCCCTTAGGCACGCCAGAAACCTATGATCGAGGGTTCCAATCCCGGTTCGCCCCGATTATGTTTCTAGGTTTGTCAGCACCATACCCGTGCTCGTGGGTTTCACCGAAGTGGTAAAGCTCTAAGACAAGCCTGCATCACTTCGGGATTTCCTCCCACATTAAGCTGACACACCGTGACATAACTGGAAAAATGTTAAAGCGGCGTTAAGCCCAACTCACTCACTCACTCCTATAAGGCGACTTTTCAGACTGTGACTTGCGTGTCATGGTGCCCTAATACAGTGGATCTCAGCTCACTTTTTCATTCATATGTTTGTTGTTTATCTCCGCACTCAGCCATATTCCAGCTAATTGACGGAGGTCTGTAAACAATCGAGTCTGGACCAGACAATCCAGTGATTGACATCGATCCACGCAATTGGGATACGGTGACATGCATCAACCAGACCACCTGATCCCGTTAGTCGCCTCTTACGACAAGCATAATCGTCTTTTACGGCAAGCATGGGTTGCTGAAGACCTATTCCTACCCGATCATGTAAAACCCATGAACCGTTACATAGCTGAAATAATGCTGGTTGTTGCGCTAAACAACATTCACTCACTATGAAAGGCGTATTCTTAAACACAGCTTCGTGTATAGTTTGTGATTCTCCTGTGTATTTACGTTCGGCGCGAATAGCTGCAAAACTGCGGATGCGGCGTTAAACAATATCCACTCACTCACTCAGTATTTACGTATGTTCTTTCAGTATTTGAGGGGGCACGGATGGCCCAATCGTCTAAGGCGCCGCAATTCGCTGTGTAGAGTTGCGTCCCTTGGACACGCCAGAAACCTACGATTGTGGGTTCCAATCCCGGTTCGCCCCGATTATGTTTTTAGGTTTGTCAGCACCATACCCGTGCTCGTGGGTTTCCGCGAAGTGGTAAACGTCTAAGACCTGCATGACTTCGGGCTTTCCTCCCACATTAAGCTGACACGCCGTGATATAAATGGAATACTGTTAAAAGCGGCGTTAAACCAAACTCACTCACTCACCCACTTCAGTATTTGAAAACATTCACACCCACAATCATCGGAAAGGTTTGTTACAACGTTTCATGTCAAGTGTCCGTTGCTCTTCCATCAGCCGTAGGGTACCGTACTCCCGCTGAACGATTTGATTAAGTGAACATATTTATATCCCGCCTTTCGCAATATTCCAGCAATTTGACGGTGTGGTACATATACCACAAACAGACTTCACACATTGTACTCATGTGGGGAATATATCCTGGTCCTTCCGCCCGACGAGCAAATGCTTTAACCACTGGCTACCCCACCGCTATTGAACGATTCCAAAATGCGAGCGAATTGATATTAATATAACGATTTCCCGTAGTATAATATATGAAATTGAAATAAATCCTGAACAAAAAAATGCAAACACCAGCTTAAGTGGTAAAATGTATTGACCTATGAAAACAGTGAGTTTATGCATCATAAGTACGTATAAAACAAAAATGAGTGTGTTAAATAACAAATGATGTAAATCGTCGATAAAAAGAGTTCAAACAATGGGTGTCGCCACGATAAATCTAACAATCAAACAACCTGCTACCGGACTAATTGTAATCAAACTGTAAGAGTAATGATTACGATTGCCATGTCGCCATGGCGAATGCAATGTTACTACTTGGACTGAAACAACAAGGAATGCCTGGCTTGTCCAGTCGAATAACATGTTAATCTCACCGACTGGCCAAATTATCTCACCGACCGACCCAGCAACGCTGATTGTTCATGAGTATAACTACGTTGGCAAACGTCAAGCAGACTGTGGCACACACACCCATACACCTCTGCTCATTGTGATATATAAGTCAACGTTTAAATAGAGGTTTGGGGCCTTGTTTCCCTGTATTTCTTGACGTTCGCCACAGCAGTCACCGTATCGTAGTTCTTCGACAGGTTGGTGTAGGTCTTTGCGAACGTGGCCTTGAAAGCCTCATCTTGCAGCACGGCGTCCAGAGCGTCCATCACGGCCAGATCGGCAATGGTCAACTAGGGAGGAACAAGCATACAGGTCAGGAAAGATGTCCATACGTTCAACCGGTGTGAACAATGATAATATTCACCAATGAAGCGGGTAGCCTGGAGATGAGGTTTATTAAAGTGGTTGCTGAAGACGAGATGAAGATTGGATAGTTCGGTATTATGTCGGTGAACATAATATCAGCCAATTGTTTCTGTTTGTTCCCATTCGGCTTTAACAGATCTCACTGACATGGCCATGCATGAAAAAACAACATCTATCACTGTATATTGCATGGGTGTGGGTGGGATGGTCTGGGTGATGGTGGGGTGGGGTGGCGGGGTGATGTTTTTGTTGTTTTTGTTGTTTTGTTGTTGTTGTTTTTGTAGTTGTTTTTTTGTTGTTGTTGTGTTTTGTTTTTTTGGTTGGGGGGGGGGGGGGGGGGGGGGGGGGGGAGCGGTAGTTAAAGCTCCTCACGCTGAAGAGGCCCAATGGTTATAGTGTATATTGTGTATAGGATATTTATTGCCGTGGCATGACTGGAATATTGCAACCAGCAGGACGACTTCATTATATTGACAGCCTAGTCAGCACCATTCCGCTATCGCGAGGCGTTAAAAGTGGTATACCTCTGACTCCTGCGTCACTTCAGGCTTTCCTCTCAAGTTGCACTTACACAACATCATATAACTGAAATACTACATCTTCCCGAGACAGGGGTGTTAACTGACTGTAACAGTCCAGTTTCCACCCCTGTCGATCTAGGCTGGAATTTCTGGGATCCATCGTAGAGCCACCAGTGGCTGTTATGACTTATGTCCCTTCTAAGTCCCTCCTATTGACCAATCAGATTCCACATCTCACATCATTTGCATTTGCTTAAAACAAAATGACGGCGTTCAGTCAAGACGATCTGATCGATAATCAAGATCTATACTGTAATAAAACGGGTCTTACTCCGCGAAGTGCATCAAATCACTTGAGCACTTTGATTAAAAACATGAAAAGATTTGGAAATTATCTGTTGATGCAAGGTTGACGGCACAGGTGTTTTGCAAATCCTGCAATAGACCAAAATCTGCACGGCACTTTACGAACCGGATGTCGATTTCGTAACGCGAATTTGGTTGGACTATGCATAGACTCGTCAGTCCAGCCTAAAAATAACTCGATAATTCCAGCCTTCTTCGGCAAGGGTGGAAACTGGACTTACTCAGTTATTCCCCTTGCCCGGGAAGATGGAAATACTATTCAACGAAGCGTAACACACTCCCCCACTCCCAAATGTGTAAGGATGGACGATGGGCTGACAGTTTTTACCTGTTTTCCCACGAGATACCCTCCTCCGGATGCGTTATCCTTGGCCGCCTGTTCCCAGGATGTCAAGTACTTGGGGCGGATTTCCTCCTCGAACTTCTTTTGTCCCTCAGCCTGAAATATGAACAGGTACATAGGTCTTCGGTTCGGGTCTATAAAATACATTATAAGTTGACCACGCTGCAAACAGTATAGGGTCATTATGGCGTATTTTTGACATTGATAATGATTAACTGGGTTGGCATTAACTAATGAGTATTATTTCTCATCACCCAGCGGAATGAAAACAACAACAATATAGATTAACTATTTTATCATATGACTGTTTCGAACCCACCCTACCTTGCACAATCTTGACTAGAAGAACATTACATAAGAATTAAAAGTGCACTCTCGATGGCCGGAGTCAGTCGGGGCCACTCGTATGATTCCGTTAGTCTTCGAGACGAGACGAGTGGGCCCGAGTGTGAAAAATAGTCACTGTTAAGCATGTTCAGAGCCTTTTTGGGTGTGGAATTTTCATCATTTCTGTCTCAAATATGTCTAGAGATGTAACGTTTTCTACTTGTATGCAAAGAAAATCATATTGGGTCCAAGACTTGTTCATGGCACTTCTAAAATCTAAACTTTAATGTTTATCCTTACATGCGCTTTTAGTTTTGTCATAAGTCACAAACATGCAACTGTTGTAATGGACAAATATAATTCTTCTTCTTATGACTACATTTGATAACATGTGTATACCGATTTGAAAAAAACGTTTTCCTAATTTCCTAAATTATGCATATCCCGTGAGCCAAAAAGGGTCATGATAATGCCTTGTCCCTTGCTATTTAAACGTATTCTCACTGATCAAACCAATCCGACAGGAAGGACAATACGACTAACTGTGGGATCATCATTGGGTTTGCAGCGCTTTATATTCAGAACAAAAGGGTTAGGGATAATGCATATTTTTGTGACATTTCTTTTGTAGTGCAAACTGAACACACAATTTCCTAAGAAATACACCAAAAATATTCATGACCCCTAACTCTTTTGCTCAGCATATACGACTTTTGCTGCCAGTCATCTGGCGACCCCAACACTTACCTTGCTGGTGGCGTCGCTCTCAAAGAAGTATTTGTAGATACCCTCCTTCATGGACCTGGTCTGCTCTGTGAGGAAATCCGCCCTCAGTCGCTCCAGGGGGGTCTTCCCGGCCAAGCCTTGATTCAAGCACAGTTTGTCAGTTCGGTTGTAAATATTCCTCACGACCATTGATAGTGTTTGTCACGAAAGATGCATTATTAATATGAAGTATTACGCGTAATTGTAATGTGAATCAGAAGTAATACGCGTAATTTGTAATGTGAATCAGAAGTGATACAAATACTTGTAATGTGAATCAGAAGTAATACGCGTAATTGTAATGTGAATCAGAAGTAATACACGTACTTGTTATGTGAATCAGAATTAATACACGTACTTGTAATGTGAATCAGAAGTAATACGCGTAATTGTAATGTAAATCAGAAGTAATACGCGTAATTGTAATGTGAATCAGAAGTAATACGCGTAATTGCAATGTGCATCAGAAGTAATACGCGTAATTGTAATGTGAATCAGAAGTAATACGCGTACTTGTAATGTGAATCAGAAGTAATACGCGTACTTGTTATGTGAATCAGAAGTAATACGCGTACTTGTAATGTGAATCAGAAGTAATACGCGTAATTGTAATGTGAATCAGAAGGAATACGCGTACTTGTAATGTGAATCAGAAGTAATACGCGTAATTGTAATGTGAATCAGAAGTAATACGCGTAATTGTAATGTGAATCAGAAGTAATACACGTACTTGTTATGTGAATCAGAAGTAATACGCGTACTTGTAATGTGAATCAGAAGTAATACGCGTAATTGTAATGTGAATCAGAAGTAATACACGTACTTGTAATGTGAATCAGAAGTAATACGCGTAATTGTAATGTGAATCAGAAGGAATACACGTACTTGTAATGTGAATCAGAAGTAATACGCGTAATTGTTATGTAAATCAGAAGTAATACGCGTAATTGTAATGTAAATCAGAAGTAATACGCGTAATTGTAATGTGAATCAGAAGTAATACGCGTAATTGTAATGTAAATCAGAAGTAATACACGTACTTGTTATGTGAATCAGAAGTAATACGCGTAATTGTAATGTGAATCAGAAGTAATACGCGTACTTGTTATGTAAATCAGAAGTAATACGCGTAATTGTAATGTAAATCAGAAGTAATACGCGTAATTGTAATGTAAATCAGAAGTAATACGCGTAATTGCAATGTGAATCAGAAGTAATACGCGTACTTGTTATGTGAATCAGAAGTAATACGCGTAGTTGTAATGTAAATCAGAAGTAATACGCATAATTGCAATGTGAATCAGAAGTAATACGCATTAAGTATTTGCATGATCATTAATATGCACATATATACGCGTACGCTAATAAGATTACATAAACTCCAGGCAATCACCTACCGTATTCGGCCGCCAGATACCGCGAGATGGCCATACTCTCGGGGAACGGCTTTCCGTTGATCTCTATGTATGGGAGCTGTCCAAATGGGGTACCTGTAAAAAGGTTTAAATATCATATTTCCAGTTTGTGGGTTGGCATATTATTCAAAGTATGAAAATGAGTCAGCAATATTGAAATAATGAGTGTACCCAACCGTGTCTCGACCAGTGACTGGTATGCAGACCAACCCTCAAACATTGGATCAGCCATACCTATATTGATGTCAGGGTAACCGCCTCCATTGTGTAATGGAGAGAGTATGTCCAGACAGCGGAACGCCAGTCCCATGGCCGTGTCTTACCGACTTCTTAAGACGTTTACATGGTATGCTTGTTGGCGCCCGCCATTTGGGGGATAAATCAAGGAGCGGGAGGCTCGGAGTCTGTATACTGTATCTGAGTGGGTGGGGTGAAATGGGGTTTAACGTCGCGTCCAAGTTTATTGCACTTATATAGCGACGTGCATGTACGTGGGTGTGTTTGTGTGGCTTCTTGTACTAGTGATGCCGATTTATAGTGCTAGCTCACTGAGATACCATGCCGCAGTTTAACATGAATACCCCACTCAGACACAGTATACTGACTCCGAGCCGACCAGTCCTTGTTTTAGCCCCTTAATGCCGAGCGCCAGACAGGGTAACAACAAGTACCATCTTTTAACGTCTTTTGGTCGGGATCGAACCCCGGACCTTCCGCTCTCCTGGCGGACGCTCTACCACTAGACCACGGAGGCGGTCCGTATCTTAGTGGGGTAACGAGACATGGCATCGCATCGGGATAACACTATAAAAGCCTAACTCCGGAGAAGTACAAGCAGCCACGCACAGACGTGCATGCACGTCAGTGTAAAAGTGCAATGACCTTGAAAGTGACGTTAAACCCCATTTACCTCACTTCACCCATCTCATGGTCGTTTGGCTAGCAAAGGGTTAATTTTCCCCAAGGCAGACACTCGAAGTCTCACTCAATCAACGAAGCATGACGCCCCATCGCTTATTTCTAAACCTGCTGAGTACGGCGTTTAAAAAAAGAAACAAACAAACGACTACACTCTATAGGTTTTATCTCTATACGATCATTCATCAACATCAGGCCTTTCAATTTTTTATTTCCTTTTGGGAAATATATTCTGAGTACACATGTACTGGGGCAGTCATATCAGGCTAATCTATAATTTATGTGGTGTAGATTTTCCAAACCCGTTCTGCCTATTGTGGATGATTCATGTCAAGAACATGTCAAGCTGAAGTAAACTTGTGTATTCTGATTTATGTTGGGGTACATTTCAGTCAGCTGAAAGGTATTTAACAATATGTAGTACTTTTTACAACAACCAGGCCTTCCGTGATGCTGGCGACCTATGCTGCCCCGGAATACCACGGAGCCCTTGAACTAAAATGTTACAAAATATGCCACAACCACAAGCGCGTACAAAAATAGAAATACTTTTATCATAAATCCATACTTATTACAAGTACGAATACAGCCTTTTGGAAAAGGCGTTTGTTTTGTTTTACAAATGGAATAGCTAATCACCTATAAATATATGATTTCCGTATGAAGTCTCTCTCTCTCTCTCTCTCTCTCTCTCTCTCTCTCTCTCTCTCTCTCTCTCTCCCCCACCCCCACCCCCCGCCTCTCTCTCTCTCTCTCCCAAATTTTCCTCTAAGATGTCAGCATTGCTCAATAAATATTAGTATTCTACTTACTTGGTTTAAGCGCGCCCCACTCGCTGAACTCGACCCTCCTGTCTTCGAAAGTGACACCGGCAGCATTGAGAACCAAGCGCGGGATCTCGCCCCGAGCACGAAGATTGAAATACGTGAACTTGAAGGTCGACATGTTTAACACCTGTAATCAACAAGCAGCACACCTGAGCGTTAGCGAGACTGACGGCGATGGACAGTTGCTGCGTTTTATACTACACGTCACGTGACACGGATGTAAACGACACAGCCGGTATAATGACTCGACAAACGACCAGGAGGTAGCGTGTCGTGGACTCTTTGTATTATATACAGCAGTACGTATTACCAACGAGTTAATCCTAGAGGGTTGTGCATTTCGTAGTAGACCGGATACTGGTAATAGTAGACACGCATATGACATGGCCGGACAAGGATATAGGAACATTCCGGACTGTAGTGGGGAATCTGAGCTTATAATGCTGTGTCATTGGAATGTCAAAGAGTTGACGCGTACAGCTCTTGTTGTAGCTAAAACGGTACCGCGTAATATCCGTACCGAACTAAAATGGAACCAAATTGATAGCCTCTCTTACAGGAGGCTGCTAACTCTCCCCTGAATCCCGAATACCATCTATTTTGTCTCTCTGGTCTCATTTACTCACCCTGAATCCGAAATACGACTTAACACAAATCTAAAAAAAAAGGGCGGATAAAGTCTTTCATGGAGAGGGGGTGCAGATTTTCATAACATTTCAAATAAATAATTTTTTTATTGTTATCTATTTTTATTTTTCTCTCGCTATTGCTTCTCCATTACAATCTGTTAGCATTAACAACCACGCTTTCACGTTTCAGGGACGGATATATTTTTCAGATAGATTCAGGGATGAAGATGCATTTTTCCTTCCATCATTGTACGTCACCTCCTCAGCGACACTCATGAAAGCACAGGGGGATAACGCATGCTGAGCATGAATACTCAGCTCTAGCCGCCTATACTCAGCTCTAGCAGCCGATACTCAGCTCTACCCGCCTATACTCAGCTCTAGCAGCCGATACTCAGCTCTAGCACCCTACACTCAGCTCCAGCAGCCTATACCCAGTTCTAGTAGCCTAGCTATACTCAGCTCTAGCAGCCGATACTCATCTCTAGCAGCCGATACTCAGCTCCAGCAGCCTATACTCAGTTCTAGCCGCCTGTACTCAGCTCTAGCAGCCGATACTCTCAGCTCTAGCAGCCTATGCTCAGCTCTAGCAGCCGATACTCTCAGTTCTAGCCGCCTATACTCATCTCTAGCAGCCGATACTCAGCTCCAGCAGCCTATACTCAGTTCTAGCCGCCTGTACTCAGCTCTAGCACCTTATACTCAGCTCTAGCACCTTATACTCAGCTCTAGCAGCTTATACTCAGCTCTAGCAGCCAATTCTCAGCTCTAGCAGCCTATACTCAGCTCTAGCACCTTATACTCAGCTCTAGCACCCTACACTCAGCTCCAGCAGCCTATGCTCAGCTCTAGCAGCCGATATTCAGCTCTAGCAGCCTATACTCAGCTCTAGCAGCCGATATTCAGCTCTAGCAGCCGATACTCAGCTCTAGCAGCCTATACTCAGCTCTAGCAGCCTATACTCAACTCTAGCAGCCGATACTCAACTGCTAGCAGCCTATGCTCAGCTCTAGCAGCCTTTACTCAACTGTAGCAGCCTATGCTCAGCTCTAGAAGCCTATACTCAACTCTAGCAGCCTATACTCAACTCTAGCAGCCTATGCTCAGCTCTAGCAGCCTATACTCCGCTCTAGCAGCCTATACTCAGCTCTAGCAGCCTATACTCAACTCTAGCAGCCTATGCTCAGCTCTAGCAGCCTATGTTCAGCTCTAGCAACCTATGCTCAGCTCTAGCAGCCTATGCTCAGCTCTAGCAGCCTATACACAACTGTAGCAGCCGATACTCAGCTCTAGCAGCCGATACTCAGCTCTAGCAGCCTATACTCAGCTGTAGCAGCCTATACACAGCTCTAGCAGCCTATACACAGCTCTAGCAGCCTATGCTCAGCTCTAGCAGCCTATACTCAACTGTAGCAGCCGATACTCAGCTCTAGCAGCCTATGCTCAACTGTAGCAGCCGATACTCAGCTCTAGCAGCCTATGCTCAGCTCTAGCAGCCTATACTCAGCTCTAGCAGCCGATACTCAGCTCTAGCAGCCTATGCTCTGCTCTAGCAGCCTATACTCAGCTGTAGCAGCCTATACACAGCTCTAGCAGCCTATACTCAGCTCTAGCAGCCTATACTCAGCTGTAGCAGCCTATGCTCAGCTGTTTACAACATGTTTTGAAATCTAAATTTCGGATATTTACTCGGAGAAATGAATTTCAAAAATAGCATATTTGTGATCACGGGTATCTGTCTTTTATCAAATCACCAATGATTCAAGATTATTGCAGTGTGTGTGTGTGTGTGTGTGTGTGTGTGTGTGTGTGTGTGTGTGTGTCTGTGTGTGTGTGTGTGTGTGTGTGTGTGTGTGTGTGTACATGGCTTACTTCAGTCACTCTTCACGGTCCATTGCCACCAAAATAGATAGTCACGGTGACAGTGTTATTTTCATTTCTATGAAGCAAGAGGATAATTCCGATCTGACATTATGTTCACAACAGCCAGGTGATTTGCTGGTTGAAATGAGCTTTCGCGCACAACCCGATCAGTTATTCTTCAGTGTATTGGATTCAGAAGCAGAATCAAGCTTTCTTTAGTGGCGAATACAACACGAGATAACACAACATCAAAAATATTATCGGTTAAACAAATCTTTCATGCATGTTTTAACAGAGGGAAACGCGTTCTTTATTATCGTGTGAAACATCCTTTGTCGTATGGAATCGATTTCAAATATACCACCAACAGTATTTGACAAGGTTGCAAGCATAACCTTTGTTAACGAAATAATGCTTATGGCAGAAAATAAATGTAACAGTCCCCACGGAGTGAATCAAAATAACAGGGCTGAGGTAATATGTACGAAATGAGGGATGATATCGATTTTCCACGTGTGATTTTCCCCGTTATTCGAGCAATATACAATCCGCTCCAGGATAAGGCGTTTACATTTCTCAATTAATAGGTACTTTAGAATATATACATTTTATTTAAATTAAATTTACAACTTAACTTTTCAATCAAGGTTTCACCATCACACGACTGGTAAAGTCATTTAAGAAAATGTATGGTAGACATTTAGGGGAATTTGCAAAGCATACAGTTTTTTATTCGATTTACGGACTTTTTACAGAAAAATACCTGTCGGCAGGCAGGGTTTAAAAAGGTTAATTCCGTTTTTGTTTTGTTTTCTCCTTCACTGTGGGTAGGCTGGTATAAAATACTAAAACTGGTTTAATGTTAGAGGAGAGCCTTCATAACAGTGATGCTTTCAGCGATGCAAACCTGACGACTCAAGCGGGAATACCGCTGTGCCACTATGCATCCTTTTAAATTCTTTTACAATGCCTCATTAAAACATGTCGGTAAGATAAGTTTGTTGTAGCAGGATAACTCGGGGTACATGTAGTACAAAGTCATAAGAGTAAAACAGTAGACGTGACAATGTGATCTTTCACGGCATTCCAGAGGTTGAAAATGAAATGTCTGGAAAATCGAAAGATATTATTATCTCTCTCTTGAATGAACATGTGAAAACAAAGACGTGGCAAAAGTGTGATATCAACCGCGCACACAGACTTTGGACTAAACGTCAAGACTCTACTAGACCCAGACCTCTTATCGCGAAATTCCAGGAATCCATTGATAAAGTCTACACATTGAAAGCAAGACCATCATTTCAAGAAGCATGATTCAATATCGCAAGCGACCTGACGATGAGACAACGCAGACGACTCAAAGAACTGGAGGGAACTGGTGTCCGCGGCTATTACAAGCAGGGGAAACTCGTGACGGTTCCTGATACGCGTCCTTCCGTTGCCCGTCAGGATGTTCCCACAACACCAGCAAGAAACAGATCTGTACGTCGTCTCCAACAACGCGGTGTGAGAACCCTATCAAGTGAGAGAGGTGACAGATAGGATGGGGGCCAAGGCCAAATTTCAGATGGATCAAATAGCAACTACACCGGTGACTGTACGGACGCTTCTGTGAATCCATGCAGTGACGACGATGCGGTATTATCTTTATTCCGCATATTATCGCGGAATGTAAACGGTCTTTATAGCAAGTACTCTGATGAGGATTTCCTATCATATCTACGGACCTTTGATATATTCTGTCTCACTGAAACTTTTGTTGTCGATAGAATACCTGAACTTTGGATCGCAGGGTATAGCTTATTTTATTCAAGTGCAATTAGTTTATCCAGCTCCGGACGTTCTTGTGGCGGGGTATGTGTCGGTATAAAACATGAACTACTAAGACTATGTCATCCAATAGCTGTTAATGTTGACAACTTGTTGTGTTTTAGACTCTCACGAAGTATACTGGACAGCACATGTGACATTTTATTGATTTGTGCTTACATACCACCTGAAGGGTCAACATACTACCGACATAAGGACTCTGTTTGTGCTCTTGATCAGTTAGAGTCTGATCTTATAGATCATGTATCAGATATTGCTAATTGTCATGTACTTCTGTGTGGTGACCTCAGTTCCCGATGTGGAAACAAAAATAACTTCAGTGACTATGATTCAGATAGTATTAATAATAGAGGTGATCCCTTTCCAGAGGAAAGTGTCCCTATTTCAGATAGGACGTCAGTAGACTCGGTTGTAAATAGATTTGGTCAACTTTTATTGAACGTTTGCAATGTTTTTAATCTGTGCATAGTTAATGGGCGTATGAATGGGGATTTGCACGGAGAATTTACATGTGTAAGCCACCAGGGGAGTAGCGTTAATGATTATTTCATTTGTTCAGTTGATTTCTTCCATCATATTTCCTCATTATGTATTGGGGAAAACCCCGTCTCTGACCATTTTCCTCTTGAATTATCTTGTCACATAAAACTAACAAGTAACAGTCTTGACCAGTGTAGTGACCAGCCTCTGGTCAAATATGTTTGGAATGATTTTCACGAATCTCGTTACTTGGATAATCTTAAGAGCTGTCTTAATCTGACTGAATTAATAGAGCTTCTACATGTTGATATAGATAGGTCTTTGTCTAGCTTCGTAGACTATTTACTGAATTCCGCCAGCTGCATGAAGAAAGCCTTATGCTCTAAGAATGGCTACACG